TCCCTTTTTTCTTTCCATTGTCTTAAGTATTAGTTTCTATTAGTTTTTATCTTTTTTGCTTAAACATTTAATAAAGTTGTTATAAAGACTGTACACTCATCAGGTTTATCTACTTTTCTGCAATAGCTCTGCAGCAGCACCCAGCGTGGGGCACCAGGGATATTCAAAGAGGTAGTTCAAAAAGATGGTGGCCACAACCATGTGATGAAAGCCATGCCCATTTTTAAGTACCTCACACGTACAGCACAGGTTCAGAAGAGATCAGGACTTGATGCATAGTCATGGCTACCACCTTGATGTTTTTGACACTTCCTATGGATGCCCCTGTGGAGCACAGCTCCTCTGGTTGAAGGAAACTTTTGGAAACTCTTGCTGCTATATACAGGTCAGGGATGGGGTGGAACCTGTGGCCCTTATAATTATACCCATGACTGAAGTATAATTCCTAGGAGCCCAAACAGGGATAACCACAGATGACAAACACTGGGGAAATGTAGTTTAGCCACGTTTGGCGAACTACCCACCCACCCACTCAGTGGGCCTTAGTAAATGTAATGGGTTTTTAAAATTTCCTTCTTTCAGTTCTATCTGTGAAAAGAGTGCTGAATATAGTTCCACTCCCATAATTCCCCAGCTAGATTTCCAATGGGCACAATTTTAGGAAAGGCTATTATTTGAGAGGTTTAACATGGTATGACTCCACAGCTCCACATAACAAGCATCATTTATGATCGCCTACAGTGTATCAAATCATAACTGATGGCTCTGTAGGTATGCTGTTTCTGCATGCTGATTCACAAATCCTGATGAATGTGGAAAAAATCTACACCCATTAATGCCTACAGTGCAGCGCAACCTGTGAGCCTAATTCTTATCCAAAAATGCAGAGTAAGAAGAGGCTTTGGGAGTAAGTAGTTGGTGTATCAAGATGTCATTCCACAAATGGCAAGAGTCTGTAATGACATGATAATGTTTGAAACAAGTACATAAGCTGTGACATTTGCATTATGATGTCAGCATAAGCATGTCATTATTTGTCCCTCCCTTGCCCCCCCTGTCAATATTCAAGGTAATGGCTACTAGTCAGGATGTTTCCTTACTACCTCTAGGACTAGAGTCAAGGAACCTTTCTTCCAATGCATATAGCAAGTCTGGGGCCCCTAAAACATATTATTATTGTACTTCTGTTGCATTTGTTAATTATTCTATTACCTTTTATTGTTGTTACCTGGATATTGCTTAGGGTCTGTCTGGCCTGGAGTGGCAGATAAACCTCATAAACAAACATAATAAATAAATACATAAATAAATAAACGAGGCTAGAGACAAAGGGTTATAGTCCATCTACTTTTTTTTCCATTCTACCATCCCTGTCCAAATCTGGGGAATCATACTTGCTATTTACTTTTGTAAGAAAACATCTACACAATTGTTACCAGAGAAAGAAATTTTTAACAGGTTAGTTGACCAGCCAGAGAGCACCATGCTCTGTGAAATGATACCACTTTTTCCAGGTATCTAAAAACTAGGAAATGTTCACCTCGAGAGGGCATTGTTTTGATGCCACCATTGTGAAGGCTTTGCATCTCAGTCATGAGGAGTATCTGAAGCAAGATTTCAGAAGACACCTTCATATAATAACAACAGCTATAAAAATATTGCCTCTGCAAACATGGCTGAAAGGGAGGGACTATTTTCTTTTACCTCTGTATCCCTGAGTCTGGCCTCCAAGGCAGACCGAGGCCCCTTAGTATTGTCATTGATCCGCAGTCTCTCCTGGATGGTCTTCATCCAATCTACTGCTTTCTCCACACTGCTGTCAAATTCATTCTGGGGCTGCTGGATCATTGCATTAGAAGAGACTGGGCAGAGAGAAATGAACATAAAATAATTTTAAACAGGGATAGTGGTAGGGTGTAATGTCTCCCTAGCTCAGAAGTGCTTTAGACAATTCAGAAGGAGGACATTCTGATTCTAATGCTCATCTCTATATCATCCAAAATAAAAAGTTTGCAATTTCTTCCAAGAACAAATACACAAACTCCCTTAATGTGAGCACAGGTTGTTTACCTCCATTGCAAGGAAAATGTGAACATTTTTTAAACAGAAAATCTAGAAGAGCAATTATGTCTGAAGGCCCAACAGCAGCTTCAAGGCTTACAAACATATAGCACTTTGTCCCATGTTTGGTGTACAAGAACCTAGTGTTAGGTGGAGAGACTAAAGCCAGTGACACTGTCACTTAAATTATTCGAAGTGTGATCCTATACTGTATGTGTTTATCAATAAATAAGTCCATGTAAATGGATATAGATTTGAAACTTTAGATCTGATTTTCAGATTGTAGATAAGGATTTACATGATCAAATGCATGACCAAATACATGTCCCCCAAATCATTACAACAAAGCAACAACAACATTAGCATATCAGAAAGCAAGGTGAGATAGAATATCTTCCAAGATATGGATGGTAAACTAAAAATTATTAGGCTTGGAGAGCATCTTCAAGGCACCAGCCACCCCCCAGGGTTAGTTATATTTCTTCTTGCCCCATGTGAGTGGGCAGAGCCACATGTTCAGTTTGTTCCATAAAACCGGGAGGGTGGGGGGCCACCTCACCTCTGGGGGGAGAATATTCCATAGGGTGGGAGCAACAGCAGAGAAGGCTCTCCTCCTGGACCCCACCAGCCGACATTCTCTCGCCAATGGGATCTGCAATATACCCTGTCTGCCTGACTGGGTGGGACAGGTCAATGTGATGATGGTGAGACGGTCCCTCAGGTAACCTGGACCTATGCCATGTAGGGCTTTAAAGGTGATAACCAACTCCTTTAATTGGACCCAGAAGCAAACTGACACCCAATGCAAGCTCCCGCAGCAAAGGTGTTACATGTGCCATCCTTGGGGAACTCAAAATTGCCTATGTGGCCACATTTTGAACCAGCTGTAGCTTCCAGCGCAAAACTGTGCTGCCCACTCCCAACTCCCCAAGTCGATGCAAAAGGATACCATGGTCGATGGTATTGAAAGCTGCTGAGAGGTCAAGAAGACCACGGGTAGATGCACTACCCCCATCCTGCTCCCTCCAGAGATCATCCATGAGTGCGACCAATGTTGTTTCTGTTCCATATCTGGGCCTGAAACCTGACTGAAAAGGGTCCAGATGATCATGATTTCATCCAAGATCCTCTGGAGCTGTAATGCTATCACCTTCTCGACTATCTTCCCTAAAAAGGGGAAGTGAGAGACTGGATGAAAATTGTCCAATACAGTGGGATCCAATGATGGTTTCTTGAAGAAGGGATGCACCAGCGCCTCGTTAAAGACGTCTGGAAACTCTCCCTCACTCAAGGATGAATTCACCATCACCTGGACCCATGCACCCGTCACCTCCCGAGCAGCCTTAACCAGCCAGAAGGAGTATGGATCTAATTGACAAGTGGTGGCATTGACAGTCTGGAGAGGACCCTGTCCACTTCCTCGGATTCAACAGGATCAAACTTTTCCCAGGTAACAGGGTAAGTCCGTCCCCTGGGCATCTCGACAAGCCATGACCCATGTGTGGTATCCAACTGGAAACGAATCTGAGCAATTTTATCCTCCAGATGTCCAGAAAAATGTTTAGGTACCATCAGCAGCATCACCTCCAAAACTTTCACCACCATATTAAAGGGAATTGAATTATATTAGCTCACACCTACAATTTGAAGCCTATGGGAAAACTGAACCTTTGTTTCAATCCACTATTCACAGACCAAAAACTTATCCCATTGATCAGTAACCCATATGACTAATTCTTAAGTGGTCCAACTGTATGCACTGATTTACATGAGTAGAATGTAGCTACTCTAAAGACTGTGTGATACTAATATCAGTGCTTAGTATTTTTAGACTGGTATAAAGATTAGGAGCACACAAAAATTACTGAAACATGAAAATTGTGTATTGGAGTAGAATATCAAAAACAACTCACACTCTCCACTGCTCATATACATGTGCCAAAACTGAGTAGGTTGTATATGGATAGAGCCATCAGGCAATTTAATCATTAGATGGAATTGGACATATAGTAGTTGTAGCTGTCAGCCTTGCGCGGTAGCCCAGAAAGGAAGCATGCCCAGATGAACTAATTCTACTTTATTGTAAGGTTACATTAACAGAATCCTGCAAGTCTGAAAGTAAATTTCTCCCCCGTTATCTTTACAGCCCAAGAAACTAAGGAGGGTCCCTTCTGAGATATTTGCCCTGCTCACATTCTTTTTGCAGGCTAAGCTGCCTCTTATCTGACCATTGCCCTGGCTGTGGTTTTCCCCATCTCCCAAGGTCATTCCCACATACCATTACAGTATCTAGTAAAGTTAGTAATTTCTTGGTTCTGTTTGTTCTTCTTGGAGAAAAGCAATTAAGTTCTTGTCTAGTTCCTTGATTGGTATATCCTCTATGCTTACCATAATAGGTTGAGATTTTGTGCTAGTATAAAGTGATTCTATTTATGGAAGGTGGGGGATCTGATCATAGATTCTCACCTGCCACTTAAGTAAAAATCACTGTTAGATTGTTCTGAAAGTCCCATTAGCCTCAGTAGGTGAAATGCTGGGTCTGCTATGAGTGGGAAGAATTGATGATAGTTGGGCACACTGTCTTATGAGATCACAAATACTTTATGCTGAGATAAAATATGTTTGTGTCATCTTAATCAAGATCATCATCACTGAAGCAACATGTGAATTTTGAAAGCCATTATTTTTTGTTGCCACTCCTCATTCTTTCCTTAACTCATAGCACAAATATCCTCAGGCATGTAACACTGAAACTTGGCACAAAGATGAAGCTTCCTTTACAGCAGGCAGAGTTCATCTAGGGACTGGGCATGTTTCTTCACAGTGAAGAATAAAGATAGTATTTTGTGGTGACAATTTAGTGTGCATGAAAGAAGCCACTACCTGCCCCCCCAACTCCCAAAAAATAGCAGCATGGGTGGAAGTTGTTGGTCAGGACTTTGAAGTACTTCAGATCATTCTGAAAAGGTACTTCAAAGTACAGAAGTGTCTGAATGCATAATCTGTTTTCGCAGGGTCTTGTGGCAGCAGCCTCGGAATCCCAGGAAAAAGTGCAGCTACCTTAAAGAGTTGTAGACAAAACACCTTTCTGGAATTAAATCTGAAATAATGTAAACCTCATTGTAAAACTCTTTTGCAAGGAAATTGTAGAATACTATATACATATTTAGAGTACCATGCTTAGCCTTTCCAATTCTTCCTCCCTGATTTGCTGAAGAATAACTTCCATAATTCCACACTGGCTAGAGATGATGGGCTTTGTCTGGAGAGGGAAAATTCTCTGCACTGTTGAAAGGAGAAGGCTTCTCTGATTAAAAATATGTTTCTGATTGTCTAATTCTTTATCTCTTGACACTGTCTATTTAAAAATGTAATAAATTTTCAACTTTGGTGGCTGTGAGGATCAGGGATGGGAAAAATGGGAAAGGTTGAAAATTCAAAATGCTGCAAGCTATATTTCTAACTGTCCCAGTTATAATCACTTTATTATATATATGACTTTTCATTTGTTTGTTCGTTCATATTTGGTTTCATTGGTGCTTTAGTGAAAATTACTTTCAAAAAAATCACAAGTGATTTTTACATGGTTCTGTTTAAAAAATCAAGCTGTATTCAGTATATTGTTCAGTTATTTAAAAGATACAAAGTAAATTCCCTAGATATATACATATATACAACATTTGTTGTTCCAATATTCATTGGATTAGAATAGGATTCAAGTATAGGGCTAGATGAAAATGAGGAATTAAATCTCATAATATCCCAAGTGGTGACAGAGAAAATGTTGCTAATGTTGTTGAAGTTTTCAATTCATAGCAACATTTTAAGATGTGCTGATGCTGGCAGGACAGCAGTATACAGTATGTAGTTTATTGTGAAGAATGGATATTTCTTAAAATAAGCAAAAACAACTGTGCAAAAGGATGCTTCTGTTAACTTGGTTATACAGGTTGGGTATATTAGGAGAACAAATAAGTTGAATGCATTTGGATAGGGTAAGAAGCATGTGTGGTAGAACAAGCAGAGATCAGATGAAGAATAAATAGGTGATGAATGAATGTGGACTGGATACAAAAGTGAGTGGTCAGTATGAAAATTGAGGTGATTTGGGCATATCAAGAGAATGAATGAGAATCAAACCAGAAAACAAATATATGAAGGAAGAATGAATGGATTGAGAGGAAAGGGAAGACTAAGAAAGTCATGATTGGTTGATGTTGATGAAATCCTCAAAGGGAAGGAGATGAGAAATTTAAAAAGTAAAAGGCAGTGGTTGAACCAGAAAAGGATGGTTTGCAAGGATTAAAAGGTACGAAGAGATATAGGTAGATTCAGCTATATTTCTTTTTTTTTTATTTTATGCCTTTATTTTATTTTAGGTCACTATTCCATATTCCCTTTATGCTTTGCATAAAGTTGTTTCTATCAAAAAAGCATGATAGATAGATAGATAGATAGATAGATAGATAGATAGATAGATAGATAGATAGATAGATAAAAAAGCTGTGTTTCCCTTTGTCAGCAACACATGATTACTTTCAGTGTTTACTATGAGACTTTAAAATCTTTACCATTTTAAAAAATCCCTTGGGCATTTTTTTTTTTTTTTGTGGGCCAGGTGATAGGGAACAGTCAGCATGGACTACCATCCCATTTACTTTTATGTCTCTGATTTTGGGAAAAAAAGGGGGGGTAAGGGGCTCATTCTAAGCTCTGTTATTTCTTATGGCTGGAACATAGAAAAGTGTTCAAATTTTGTTTCATTCATGTTTTGTTCTTTTGGGATGCAGAGAAACTCAAA